ACCAAGTTTAGTGATCAGCCTGGAGGGAATGACTGTATTGAATGCTGAACTGAAATCAACAAACAGCATTCTTGCATAGGTGTTCTTATTGTCCAGGTGTGTTAGAATGGTGTACAATGCTATGGAAACAGCATCCTCTGTGCTCCTGTTCTTGCTGTAGGCAAATTGGTAGGGGTCCAGTGTGATTGGGAGACAAGTTTTGAGGTGTGCCAGGACTAACCACTCAAAGCACTTCATGATTGTAGGTGTAAGTGCTATAGGGCGGTAGTTGTTCAGACACTCTGGCTTGGAGTGTTTAGGCACCCGCACGATGGAGGTGGTCTTGAAGCAAGTTGGTACAATTGCTTGGGAAAGAGAGAGATTAAAGATGTCAGTCAAAACCACAGACAGCTGTCCAGCACAGGCCTTAAGTACACGTCCTGGAATGCCATCAGGGCCCATAACTTTGCGTGTGTTAATCCGGCTCAGAACAGCGCAGACTTCAGTGATTGAAAGTGTGAGGAGCTGTAAGTTTACAGAGGGTCTGATCTTGGTGGCTGTTTCCTGGTTGTCTCATTCAAAATGAGCATAAAAGTCATTTAGCTCATCGAGAAATGAGACATTAGCGAATGAGGGAGTAAAGTGGGCAGGCTTGTAGTCAGTGATGTTCTGGATGCCCTGCCACATACGCCGGGAATTTGAGCTAGCGAAGTGATCCTCAATACTTAGTTTGTAGCTATGCATCGCTTTCTTGATGCCCCAAATCAGTCTTGTACGCACTATAGGCCTGTCTGTCACCAGATCTGTTAACTTGGTTGTGCAGCTTATCTGTGAACACTGAGTCTAGAAGCACAAAGTCTAATATAGTGGGGGCCCTGGAAGTCCATTGTTGTAGTCACTGTGTTATTCTATAATGCAGATCACGGTTTTCTATCAGTTTTAGTTGGTGCCTGCTTTCAAAGCTACTGGAGGCTTCCTAGCACAGAACTACCAGTGAATTTGTCACTGCTGAAGCTTCAAGGTCCCTTGGTTGGATATCACATTGGCGTAGGGTTTTTCATAGTGGCTTTGTAGCACTTTAATGGTTCACCTTGAGGTCTCTTCTCAGAATCCAGTACACTATAGAGAAATTGGTGAGGCATACAGCAGCCATTCATTTTGATGACATGTCCTACAGATCTTATCTGGGCTCTGCATAAATTAAGACCTCTAGACTGGAAACATGATCTTGCCAATGAATGTCAGGGATGGAATGGGGAGCACACATGTGAAATTTCTCCACTTGTTCGATGTGTCTTCATGACTCACATCCATATAAGAAGGGATAACCATAGATCTGAAAACATTTACTTGTGGAAATATAGAAGTTGCGTAGAATGAGCACTATGGTATACAGCCACTCTAATGCCTGGCTGGCCTTGTTGATCCTGCTCCTTTGTCCAGAGACCCATTGCTCAAGATGATGCTTCCCAAGTATTTGAAGCTGTTTACATTTGTCAGTTGAGTGTCATTGAATTAAATACTTTATCTGGACAACTGTGATCAGACACACTAGAAATTTGTCTCTGGTACAGAAACATTCTGTGTACTTATAAAGAAACACAGTAATAATACCAATAAAAGGTATTATAATACAAAGGATAAATAATAATACCACAGTCATACTGTATGGGTTAATATGCATATACTTTAGAAACAACTACAAGAATTGAGTGTTCAGCAGAGTGATGGCACGATGGAAAAACTGTCCCTATCTTTAGTTGTCTTGGCATACAATGCCCTATAGTGCCGCCCTGAAGGAAGGAGAGGAAACAATGATTTTTGGTTCTATGGGCTTAGTATTTGGCATGGGCTGGTACTTCAGTTTTTGTCAGACTGAAGAGTATAGCAGTTATTGAGACTATTGAGTGGCATCAATTCTAGACTGCTGTCTTTGTGTGTCAGGTGTACAGAATCATTACTAAAAAATGGCAAAAGTCAAAGGAACAGTTGTCTAATTGGTACCTGATACATACTCAGCCAGACACAGGATAGTTGTGACAACATGCAAATGAAGAACAGATTGAATAGAACTGTGGCTAACACACAACCCTCTTTTACCCCATTGGAAATGGCAAATGCAGTTGATACATCATTATAAAGAACCTGTCTTGCCCGGTTATTCCACTGTAGAATATTTGAATCAGCTTCAGGAATCCTTCGAGCATCCGTAATGTCTCAGGATAGTCCAGAGAACCTTGCTGTTGATAACGTAAAATGCCTTCATCAAGTCAAAAACAGAGTTAAGAGGCTTGTTCTGCTCAATTCAATGGACTTGCCCTATGACACATATCATATACTTACACTATGTTTATACTATATTAATATTTGCACTATTGCTTTTACTATAACTATTATAGTATATGGTAGCCAAAATGAAGTCATATCAGTTCTTGTCTAGAAACTATTAAAGAGCAGATATTACTATAAATGTTGAGTGCTAAACTTCCAGAATATCTAAACATTCCGCTATGTTAGTTTACAAACTGCTGCTGTTGGTTTATAAACTATCTTCCTTATGTATATCAGACACTTATAATGAATCTGTCTACTGCTGAAGCTATCTCAGGATAAAAAAAGGGAAGAGACATAAATGCCAAATGGACATTAAACCAGTCAATACTAAAATATGATGAATTTATACAAACTATGGAAAGAGAAATTGACTTTAAAAAACAAAGAGAACAGGAAAGAAGAAACTTCACTACAAAATGTATGGGATACTGCCAAGGTGTATATTTGGGGATTAGCTATAACCTATATGGGGGGGTGGGGGGGGGAATATGGAAAAAAAAACCTAAACCAAAAAACGGTAGAACAACAACATAAAAGATTAAAAATAGAATTACAGAAAGAATCACAACAAATTGATTTTTAAAAATCAAATAAAATTAATAAAACACAAACTGAATTTGTTAGATGAGGAAGAATTGGTTCAAAAAATTAAAAATGAAAAACAAAATTGTTTCAAAAATGCGAATAAACCTGGAAAATGACTGGCATATAAACTGAAATAGAGAAAGAAAAGAAATTGATACATAGATTAGTAGATGAGAAAGGAACTTTATATCATCAAAACCAGGACAAACAAATAATAATTCAAGATTATTATGAAAAACTGTATGAGCAGGAGAAGGTTCCAGAAGAAGGAATTAAACAGTATTTGGAAAAAAGAGTTTTACCTAAAATACCGGAAACAGTGAAAGCTATGTTAAATGAATGGATATCAATGGAACTGTCAGAAGCAATTAAGAGACAAAAGAATAATAAAACACCAGGACCGGATGAGCTGCCAGCAGAATTTTATAAACATTTACAAGATATTCTGGGCCCATCAATGTTGGAAATTTACAATAAAGTACTGTTTGAATGCTCAAGAGCAGGCACACCAGTTATTGAAAGCAAAAGTTTACATACTTTGACACAAACAAATATATTGTGGGATCCATATAATTAATGAAATTATGATTGACTTTAGAACAAAGGCATATATTAAATGATTTGCTAATATCACCTCTTCAATGTACATCCTCACACTATGCTGGTATTGGAAGAAATGTTCATCTGGGTTCAGTTCCAAGAGGGAAGAAAGACACTGGAAACATGGGAGCTGCTTGGAAGGATGGTTTAATGGAGAAGCAGAACCACCAAGCATGTGTGATTCTGCATAGCTTACCGCATGGAGTGGGGAAGAGAGATACTTATACCCTCTCTTGGAGCTTCCTGTTCCTGTGTAAGGGCATGTATCCTATTGATTGCTATAGGAATTTGTCTGAGATAAGTCTGGTTGAACTGTGCTGGGTGGTATAATGTCCCCAGGTGATTTCACAATGCAGTGAGCCCTGTTGTTAGATGGGTAGAGGGCTAATCCTATTATGTCTTGAGGGGTCATGTCTTAATCCAAAGGTGGGGTCATGTCTTAATGTGCAACAAATATCTGCTGGAGGCAAGGAGCTGCAGGGAACTGTTTTGTCTTTAAAAATATGTTTCTCCTTTGCTCATCCAGAGAAATATAATATTCTGCCTTTTTAATATTTCCTAGAATATTCAATTCTTTTAGGAGACAGGTGAGTGCTAACTTTTTACATTGGAAATATATACCACAAAGACAATATTTTTATTTTGGATCTAATTTTATGAAGGTCATTCATCATGTTTTTTAATCAATAGCAAATACTTTCTCTCACTTGGAACTTGGCTGTATCCCCTGCAATTTGACATGTTAAATTCTGGTTAAAACAAATATTCTGTAATAAGTCCTTGTCCCAGCTTACTCTCTTGGATAATTCAATTTCACCCTGGAAATCACTATATTTAGTCCTAATTTTACTTTTTGAAATTTGCATAAGGTAATGATTAGTTGCAATTAGCTTTTGATTTTTCTGGTAATATATTAGATTTTATGATACCAGATTATCTGATGTCATAAGGCACTTTAGAAATTAATAATAGCTAAAACTCTAAGGAGTTTTATAACTTTCATTATTTTTTAACAGTGTAACCAATGGTTTTAGAGAACGTGGGAAAAACAAATGAGTCGCATTGGTTAGATAGAATAGTAACAATAACAAATCTATCTCCATGTTAATGTTTTGATAGTATACTGCATACAACTTAAATTTAAAACAGACACAAACATACTCTCCAAAAACATCCTACAGAAATAAATTAAGTTTACGTCTAACTAAACAATATTATTCACCCGTCTTTATACGGCTTTAACACAGCAAAGACTTTAACTACACCAATTTTCCTTAGTTATTCTCACGTTATCCAAATTGCATTCTTTGCAGTTTGCCACCCGGCTCACAATTTTCAAGACATTAAGAAAGCCACTGCCCTTTCGTGGGCAGCAGCTTCAAATCCCCGACTGCGTTTGCGCACTTCCTAGCAAATCGCACATCCCGACCGCTAACTCTGAACGCTTTCTTCAAGCCCTCCCGCAGCACTTCCGCGTTCCGGGATCTCAACACGTGACTGGTTAGAGATTCTCCCCATACAATGTTGCTTTGGTGACGCGCCTGGGCTGTTGGACATTTGACTCGTTAAATGCGTCAAAGGCTGCAGAGCGGAGCTCCGTTAGTTTCAGGCGAGGCGGCTCTTGGCGCAACGAGAAGTCAGCGTGAGTCATACGTGGGGACTGGCGTCAGTGCTGCAGATTTCCACGTTCCACGTGCCAATTGCCGCATCATCCCAGCGACGTCGTAGGGGGCGGGTGATTACCCGGGACGGCCCTGTCCTGCCTTCCCTTTCTGGAGAGCATCTGTTTAGCTCCACTAGAAAAGAGGGAGGAGTGGGGCACTGCCAGCCCACTTCTTTGGCTTAGCCTATCTTAGTCTTGGCCCGAAGGGGGGGGGGACGACGACGACGTTGCAGATGACCTCTTTTAATCAAGTATCACTACTGTTGCAAAGATGGCTGTGCTAAGTTCGTTTCCGCCTGAACTGGAGCGACTGCTGGAGAAAGATCCCTACTTGACTCCTTTTGAGCAAGACTTCCAGCGCAGGTAACTTAACCACCTGGGTCCGTTGGTGGTTCTGCTGGAGTTCTGTTCTCCATTCCCACGACCCTTTGTAACACTGCCATCCCTTTCACATTGTGAAACTTTTCCCTTCTTTGTCTATTGGTAGAGACAAAAGAGTAACAAACAATAGATTACCGTACTCTTACATAGTTGTTACATCTCTGTGGTTACATAGTAAATTCTAGTTCTATTTTATAAATTAGGAGACTACTTATTTGCAACCTAATTGTGTGTATGCTACCAGAATAGATAACTTTTTACCAATCCTTATAACAGGTTGTTCCATCTGTATAATGTATGTAACTTACTGCAGTTAGCTAAATAAATGTATTTCCTTAACAAAGGGTGGACAGTTGCACATGTGCTGGAAATAGGTTGTGTTACTTGTGGAATAATGTGTTTTGACTCATGGCTCCCTGGCAATTTTAGAAGAAAACAGCACAAAACAAAACTAGTTGTATTACAGTCTACAGTTCAATGACCAACATGGGAATATTTAATTTTGGGGGGTGAAAGCAAGAAGACCAAAAACATATTATCAAGGGCATATTGAGGCACCCTGTACATACGTGTCCATTATTTACCCTTCCTTTGAGGGCAAGTAATGGTACATAAAAACCAGAAAAGGAATAACTAAACATAAACCAACAAAATTAAAGATGTGATAAATGAAAAAATGCTAACAGCTTACGCTGCCTTACAAGTACTGTTCAATATCCTTCCTATACTTTTGTGCCCTTACAAATCATTGTTACTAAGATATACATTCTCTGCTTCATAGCTTGCCTTTTCTTTAAATTTCCCATTTCAGGATTTTGCCAACACTACTCCAAATAGTTTTATTCTAAATTCAAACTTTTTTTCATATATTTTGCAATTTAGTCCTTATATGACCAAACTACTTAGTATATTTTCATATAATGAAATTGGCCAAGCCCATCCTAATTTCCACTTCTTTCAACAACATCCTAACAGACCATGTGTATCTCACCTCAGTATTAGACTGCTGTGAGGATAATTTTATATTTCAGGTCAAAATCTTTCATATGCCATAGAAGAATTATTAGATACTGGTTTCTATTATCAATTTTGACTTTAGTTATTCAGGGCTTGCACAATAATACTTTTTAATAAGATAAAGTATAGATTATTGTACTTATACTACATGCAGCACGCTGTCAGTAATGACTGATGAGTTTTGGCCCCTTTTGGCTAGTATACCATAAGTACAGTTTCATATCAAATATGCTGACAGTATTATGTGCATTGTAGTCTCCTCTAGAGGATTACTTTTCAAACCAACAACTGTTAGTATTCCACTATTAGGAATGTGTAGTTTGCTGACAGACTCAGAAAATTATTTTGTATCATTTAATAAACTGTTTTAAGAACTCAGAGCTGTATCAATTCAATTGGCCTAAGATCTTCTAATGCTTCTGGTTCAGAAACTCAAGATCCTACTAATAAATATGAATCTTTGAGAGTTTGCTGGGTTACAACTTAAAATAGCAAATACATTGTGGTCACTTATTAGATATGCTAGGAAGTATAGCTAACCTTTATCTGGAGCAGGGATAACCAACCTTTTGGACCTCAGGGACCACCAAACTCATAATTTTAAATCCCGCGGACCAGAGACCCTGGGAAAAATCCCCAAAAAAGTCTGCAGGAAAATTCCCCACCCTGTTTTCCTACTGATCAATCATTCTTTATTTGGGATCGCACAATACTGTCTCTAGTTCCGTTCTCGGGGAGAGAGAGAGAGACTTTTGGCTTCATGCAAGGAAAGCAGCAGAATCAGCAGAACTCTTTCTTTCTCTCCCCCAAATTCCACCAGAATGGTGCAGCCTCTTGGAGCAGGACACTTTGCAGGGTCCCAAAGACTCATTTCTGGCAGAGTTTGGGAGAGAGAAAAAAAGACTTTTGCTGCTTCTGCTGCTACAGCCAAAAGTAGAAGAAGAAAGAAGTGGAAAGAAGCAGCCCGGTGGCCAGGCCAGGTGCGTGGGATGAGTGGGGTAAGTTCCCCCCCTCTGCCCTTTCCCCCCTCTCCTCTCTACCTCGTGTTGTTTGCTAGCAAGCAATGCAAGCCTTGTGTTCCGGTGGGCCATGTGGTGGGCACAGCCTTGTGTTCCCGCACAGCCTGGATTAATTGCTTTGGGAGGTGCTTTCTCTGTGGACCACCAAAATTTTCTCATGGACCACCAGTGGTCCCTGGGCCACTGGTTGGCAACCACTGCTTTGGAGTACAGTTCCTGAATTAAACTTCAGATACATAACTAAAAATTTAGAAAATGAAGGAAGCTGCTATTTTGATAAACATGTTAGACATACAGTACAGTATTGAATAAATCATGGATATTTCTAGTAACCCAATTTTCTGCAATTAAATCACAAGTATGTTGCTTAGATTGGGTTTGATTAATATAATTATGGCTATCTAATTTGTAAATTGATGTAGAACACGTGTCAAACTTGTGGCATCTTGTTGCCGTCACGTAATGTTTTTCCTTTCATGGAGCTGGGGTGGACGTGGTCTGCACATGATGCATCCTACCTGCAGGTCTCCAGTTTGACACCCCTGATGAAGGAGGAGGAGTGGCAAACCCGTGAACAGAGTTTAATGAGGGATCAATCTAGAATCCCTATCTTTTGAATTTTGTGATTCCTTATGTTGCTTTAACAATGTGCTAATTGTTAATTGAGAAAATTCATCTTCATAGGCTGTTTAGTAAAAAATCAGTTTAATTGGACCTTCGGGCTGTTTAGCAATATATCAATTTAATTGGGCTTTGTTGTGGACCTGCTCTTTTGCACCTGACACTTGATGTTTTTACTAACATAGTATTGGGGTTTTCTGTCTCTTAATTTCATCACGAAATCTGGAGCTAGTGCAAGGGATGAATCTTCTTAAAAATCAAGAATGGAAGGCTGCTTATCAGTTAAGGAATAATACATATTAAATTCTTGTTTTATGTGCTACTTTAAAACAAATTGAACCCAAGTTTATATTCACAGTTCTTTTGGAAATTTCTTTAAACTAATATTTTCTAGAATATGATCTCTGGCTCTTTGTAAAAGATTATAGTATAGACTTTTGCCAGAGAATAAGATTATAAAAATGGATAAATATTGATGATAATATAATATTGATCGGGGATGACAAATCACGGCAGTGTCACATGATGTAGTGGGACTTTTTCCCTCTTGGCTAAACTGGGCGGGGCCAGCACTGGACGTATCTGGTCCACCGGCGGTGAGTTTGACACCCCTGATATAGATTGTAGATAATAGGGGACTTGGAAGTCTTAATACATGACATCATTCTGTCTGAAAATGTGCTTAGTTTCGTCTTATAAATATAGGTTTTCTATAATGTGATATGTGGTGATTATTTCCTCTGAACAAATGATGGATAAATCTATATGTAAAACTTTTTTGATTATGTAGTTCGGAATGCAATTGAGGCAGCTTTCTCTAATTTGGCATCTAGATGTATTGGAATTTTGCATCTTTTAAAGCAGGGGTCCCCAACCACCGGTCCGCGGACCGGTCCCGGTCCGCGGAACAACTCCTACCGGGCCGCGGCTTGCTGGGCGCCGCCATCTTTTTTTCATGAAAAAGTGCTTCCGGTGAGCTTTTCCGGGTAGAAAGCTCACCGGAAGCACTTTTTCATCAAAAAAAGATGGCGGTGCCCAGCTGATGCCGGTACCGGGCCGCGGCGCCCAGCTGATGCCGGTACCGGGCCGCGGCGTCAAAAAGGTTGGGGATCACTGTTTTAAAGTTTATAGCCAGTATGTAAATGGTAAATAAAATAACGTGACAAAATATTCTAATTACTGGATTATTGACAGTGACAGATTGAGTTGATTTTCAGATTTAAACTTGATTCCCATTAATATCTTTAATTCCCTTTTATTTTTTTTTAAATCAAGTATTAGAAGGGATATATTTTGGAGTAGTGGAGTAATAAAAATTGCCTCTTTGAAGGAAATAGTATTGTAGGGGAGTTAAGTTAAAAAAGGGCCATATACTTCAAAGAAGGACATTTTTCAAAGAAGATTATGTGCTAATCTTTTAGAAAAAAGATAAAAATCTTGTAGCTTCTCAGAAACAAGACGTGTAATTTAAACATTTGTCTTAAATGAGAATAACTCTAAGAATATGCTTTTTCCTTCCCTAGTGTGATCTTTTTAGACATAGTTCATTACAGTTTCCCATTGTTAATATCAAAGATATTTTAGTAGCAAATTTGGATGCTATATTTTGCAAAAGTAGGTGGCAGCATGTTTAAACCCATTACTGAAAGAATTTGTCTTAATTTCTGTCAGCACTAGACTAAGCGAGATTCATTTATTTACAAAGTATATTTGTAGCTTGCTCCTTTGGGTAGCTGAAGTTAGCAGATAATTAAAATGGTATTTTCCAGTTATTTGTCTAAGGATATCACAGAAAGAAGGAGCTGTAGCAAGAAATGCTGAAGGAGGAGATAAGAGAAATTTATCTGCAATTTTATATCTGTTCCCCATTCCTCCGCTACTTAGACTGCAGGTTGTGTGGCCTTCAAGTGAACATCCCATTTGTCAACTCTAAATCAGCTGAAGGACTTCTGTTCTTGGAGAGGTTCTATTGGTTCTTCTTTATCACTCCGAATAGTGGGCAATGCTTAGTTCTAAATTGGGAAAGATATATGAGCACACAAGACATAGTATTCATACTCTTAGGTTTCATATGAAAGGGGTCCCCAACTCCTAGTCTGTGGACTGGCAGCAGTCTGTGGCATGCCAGAAACTGGTCCGCACCAACAAGTGAAGCCCCATCTGCGAGATGCAGGCATCACACGAAATCATGCCCCCTCTGGTCTGAGGAAAAATCCTTTCTCCATAGAAGCAGTGCTTGGTGCCCAAAAGGTTGAGGGCTGCTGTCATATGGTGTCTCTTTGGAGATAGGTATTCCTTAAAACAGGTCAATTCAATGGTATATAG